AACAGCTGAAAGAGCTGCAAGGCAGATGCTTCATGTAACAAAGTGCTCTTAGGGAAACTCAAGCCAAGAGAGGAGATAAAAATATGGACTTTAAAGGAAGCTGGCCTCAGATACTTACAGCTATAACAAAGAGTAACCACAGCATAACTCCTCCAGATAAACATAAACCCTCACACTAATGGCCTACTTACCTCTGTTATTAGTACCTAATTCATCATGTCCCGCTTTCAGTAAGGCACACTAGGAGACAAGAAAAAAACAACCTCAAGAGACAAAGCAAGCATCAGAACCAGACTCAGATATGACACAGTTTTAGAACTGTCCCACCAGGAATTTAAACTATCTATAATTAATATGTTAAAGGCTAGAATGGGAAAAGCAGACAACATGCAAGATCGTATGGGTGATATAAACAGAGAGTGGAAAGCTTTAAAAATGAATTGAAAGGAAATGTTAAAAATTTTAAATGGCCTCATTAATAGATTGGGCATGGCCAAGGAAATAAACTTGAAGACGTATCCATAGAAATTTCCCAAAATGCAATGCAAAAAGAAAAAAAAGAGCGGAATATCCAAGATCATGTGATGGTTTGAAAAGATGTGACATATGAGTAATTGGGAGAAAAAGAAAGAGAGAATGAAGCAAATGAAATATTTGAAGTAAAAATAGATGAAAGTTTTTCAAAATGAATGACAGATGCCAAAGAACAGATAAGTAAATTACAATATGTTAAGGGAAGGGAGGGAGACATTGGGAATATCCTGTTATAATACAGCCACACTGCCCATGAAGCATGCTGCAGGGATGCTCAATCTTTTGGCTTCCATGGGCCACATTAGAAGAACTGTTTTGGGCTGCACATTAAATACACTAACAATAGCTGATGAGCTAAAAAAAAAAGCAAAAAAAAAAAATCTCACAATGTTTTAAGAAAGTTTACAAATTTGTGTTGGGCTGCATTCAAAGCCATCCTGGGCTGTGTGCCACTCACAGACTCTAGATTGGACAAGCTTGGTATAGTGTTACTTGAAAGGGATTTAGATTAGTTGCATATGCGTAGTGCAAACACCAGGGAAACCAGTAATGAAATTTTGAAAAGAACTATGATTGATACGCTAAGAAAGAAGAGGAAGTAAAACCACATGAAATTTTCAATGAACCAGAGAAAGCAGAAAAAGAGGAGAAGGGAAAAAAGAAACAAATAATGAGTGCAAGGAAAACAGTTAAACAAATAAAGGGATAAAATAATTGGAGTGAAGCCATTCAACAGTCATCTATTCAGCAATATAAAGAATCAACTATTGATACAGGTAACAACATGGCTATATCTCAAAATAATAATGCTGAGTGAAAGGAGCCAGATTTCCCCAAAAGAACCTATACTTAATTTTTCCATGTATATAAAATTCTACAAAATTTGAACCAATCTAGAGAAACAGAAAGCAGAATCAGTAGGGCCCTGGAGAATTCTTAGCTAAGCATTTCGTTATGGACCTATAAGGACTATGGCATTAACTTGATGGGATTTTTCTATGTGCATGTACAGAATAGTAAAACTTGGGTTTGAAAACACCATGGGCCATGCATCTGTTTTAGCTGTTAAACTCAAAAGCCTGGAGGCAGAACAGTTTCTTGCATGCCATGGCTAAACTAAGTCCTGGGAATGCATATGGAGAGAATGTGAATTGTTGAGGTGTGTATAAAAGGAAATTAGACTCAAAAGAAATGATCTTCTGGGAATATTTGAGCCATATTGAAGCTAGTATTTTAGGTGTAGAATACATTATCTTTGTAAAACCAGCTACCAATGCAGTGATTTAAAAATTTTTTACTCCACTGATGCTAAACTGGCATATTCTGTTTGTTGTGTAGGTCTTTCCTTTGAATATGTTCAGATATTTAAACCACAAAGAGGCAAGATCATGCCATATCATTCATGGAGAAGATGTGAGTACTAAAGCTTGATGAGAAGAAACGTGAGAATTTGTAAAAGCAGTTTTCTGTAACCAACATGCTGTTGCCATACACTCCCAACTTCATTATTACTGGAAAAAAAATTCCCTTTTTTAATCTAAAATATTTTTGGCACCTTGTGCTCTCAGATAAGCATATTAAGTTACTTTTCAATGTGAATCTTCAGTGCAATCTAATATTAGCAAAGATCTTCAAGAACATAGGGTTCCAGCATTAGATTGATCTTTAGTTGAGTTAGTCTAGTTACAGAGGTAGAGCCAATGGACAAAACACTTGAGGGATCCACTAGAGGGCAGCAAAATGTAAATGAAATTTAAATTTGCTCCCAGAAAGGCTAATGTTATCAAAAATATTTGAATTGCAAATAAGATTTCTTGAATGCAAAAAAACTTAAATTAGATTAGGGATGTACAGTGTTTCTCTTTTCCTGGAATTAGTAGTCAAAATGACATGACATGGAAGAGCAAAATGAAAATCAAATAGGTTCTAGTCTCAACTCTTTTTACTGATTGTGTGATTTGGAGCAATCTAGAATTTGCTTCTCTGGTCCACTTCTATGATACAGATTTGCACAAAATGATTATTAAAGTTCTTTTCAACTATAAAATTTTATGGTTTTATTATTTATTATTCTATCTAAGCCCCTTTAAAATCTTTTTGATTAGACTCTCGGATTATTTGATCAAACCACAACTTGCCATTAATGGAGTGTCTGTTTGGAAATCACCACCGCTATTTCATAAAAAATTTAGATCCCTCAAATGCATTGATTTACTTTTTTGAAAAAAAATCTTCTTAATAAAATGACATGTATATAATGTAGTGATAATAGTTATTGCAACATCTTCTGGAAAAAAAACTTGTGCTATTTAAACTATCAATGAATTTTTTTATTTTTAAAATGGAAAAATTAAAACCCACAATGATATGATACATAGCTAAGGGTTATTTTCACTCTCCATTCATTTTCCTTTTAAAATGCTACATATGTGAATTCATTAGTAGTTACCCTACCAAAATTCCAAAATCATGAAGATGGTTATACATAAAAAATGAATGTTGGCTTGAGGGCCAAGGAAATATTGACTGATTAATAGAAGAGCACGTGTTAGATCTGAACTACTGTACGTCATCATCATTTGGTCAACCACTGCAAGCTTCTGGATGTGGCTGATTTTTATAGAGTCACAGAATTCACAGTATTCTTCACAGTTGTTCAATGGTCATCATTATAAATACACATCACAATAACCCTGATTTGTGACTGAAACAGAAAATCTTTTTTCTTTGAACTTTGCATAATATTTATTTTCGTCAAACTCTTTTCTAAATAACTTTTAATGAACATGAATGGATAAAACTGTGAACAATTTTAATAAAAGCAGAAACTGGCCAGGCCTGGTGGCTCACGCCCATAATCCTAGCCCTTTGGGAAGCCAAGGTGGGATGATAGCTTGAGTTGGGTGGTAGAGGGTGCAGTGAGCTATGACGGCACCACTGCACTGCAGCCTGGGTGACAAGTGAGGTCTTGTTTCTAAAAGATAAAATGAAATAAAGCAGAAACCATTTCTGAATCCACACTGATAATAGAGTCATATCTAACACCATGCTGTATATTTAAATATTTTCAAATTTTTAACCTTCATTTAGAATGCATTTTCTATTTGCATATAAAAAAGGAATAAAAATACCTTGCTGGCAGGGAATTCAAGGGATGAAGGAAAATCATCCTTTAAAACAGAATTGTTAAATCTAGAATTCTTCTCAGAAGCCAGAGGTAAAACCCTGTTCCAGCAGATTCGCTTACCTGGTTACAATAAGGCTGACACCCATTTCTATGATTCTGAAGCCAAGTAGCTTCCTCGTCAGACTCTTAGACCCATCAGCTCATCACAATGCCTGAAGTTATTAGCACGAGATGATAAATTATCCATTTCAGTCAATTTTCTTTTTCACCAAAAGCAGGGTAAAGAATGCAAGGAGACACCAACTTCAGAGTCAACAATTTCACAAAGAAGTCGCACCATCTCGCAACTTTAATAGCGAGCTGTTTAGACACTGCAGTATTACCGATACCACTTACTTATATAAGAGTAATGAGTGAAATACGGATTGTCTAGGTTCAAATTCTGACTCTGCTCTTTATTATGCGCCTCAAAATCCTCGTCTGTAAATGGGCATAGCAGTGCCTCCTTTTGGGAGTTAAGACATAAATTAACACTTGTAAAACTAGTTATTATTATTGCACTTATTTGCAGACAGGGTCTCACTCCGGTTGCCCAGGTTGGAGTGCAGTGGCGGGATCTCGATTCACTGCAGCCTCGACCTTCCAGGCTCAGGTGATCCTTCTGTCTCAGCCCCGGAGTAGCTGGAACTAGTACTAGGTGCGCGCCAACACGCCCGGCTAAATTTTGTATTTTTTTTTTTTATGGAGACGCGGTCTTGGCATGTTGCCCAACCTGATCTCCAACTCCTGGGCTCAAGCGATCTGCTTGCCTCAGCCTCCCAAAGTGCCAGGATTACAGGCATGAACCGCTGCGCCTAGCTTATTATAATTATTATTTAAGCTTAGAAAATGGTTTCATTTTCTCCAATGCTTTTCCAGTAAGACATAGCTAGGAGTATCAGACTGGCGTTCTAACTAATAATTCACTGTTGATCTTGCACAAGTCACTTCACCTTTATTGGCCTCATTTTCTTATCCGGGGTCTTAAACAAAATGCTTCAAATGTAAATGCTCCAAGGTGGTTCGATGCATGTTGTGGAATGCACCAATTTTAAAATAAGGTGATTGGAGCAAATAGATCGCGAAGACACTTTCTAGTTCTAATACTTCATGTGATTATTTTCCAGGAGTGTGTGGTACATATGAGATGCAAATGGCTGTGTATATTGGGAAACACTGCACACCATTCCATTTGCTGAAAAGAACTCCGGAGGTATCTATGGAAAATATCATATCTTTTGCGGGGATACTTTTAATCTAGAGTCATCTCTACCAGTGTTGAAATGAAACAGGCCTGATGAGAACAACATATACACGTTTATTTTATTCAAGGCAGCTGTCAGTGTCGGGGGCGCCCAGGGGAAGGCCGGGCCCTCAGAGCAGCAGGAGGGCGCCCAGAGGCAGCTCGCCCTGGCCCAGCAGGCGGCCCCGCTCCCGGCCGCGGCCCTCCTCCCGAGCCTTCACACGAACCATCAGGCGGCGCACCTCGTCCTCCGAGAGGCCGTCGAAGTAGAAGTCCTGGTCCAAGGCGGCCTTGCGGCTGCGCCCCACGACGGCGCTGCATTGCCGGTGCGCGGTGCCCGGCGGCCGTAGCACGAGGCTGAGGCGGCAGCGGACCGCGCGGGGCACGGGGGCGCCTCCGGCCAGGCCCTCGGCGCGGAGCAGCCGGAGGCGGAGGCGCCCGGTTCCCGGACAGTACTCGGCGGCCAGGCGCAGGGCGTCGCCGGCGCGGCCCAGAGCCACGGTGCCCTCGGCCTCCAGGCGCTCGGGAAGCGGGGCCCGGGCCGACGGGGGGCTGGCGGAAGGGGCCCGGGCCGGGGACTGGGAGCCTGCGCGGCGCTCCTCGTCCTCGTTCCCGCTGGAGACGGAGCGGGCGCGGGCCCGGGCCCGGCGGCGACTCCTTCCCGCCCGCAGCGCGCGGCTCAGCAGCCTGTTGGGGGCGCGCAGGAGGCGGCAGCCGCGGGGCCGCGGGGCGAGAGCGTCCTGGGGCGGGCGGGGACCACCGGGGGCCGCCGGGGTGGCCGGGAGCGGAGCTCGCGGGCCGCGCATTGTCCCCAGGGGGGCGTCTGGGCTGCCGCCGCCGCCGTAGGTGTGAGCCCGGGGCCAGGGCGCGGGCAGGCCCCCGAGCAGGAGTGACTCCTTGCGGCGCGTGTGCGGGCTCTCCAGCAGCGCGCAGAAGCCGTAGGTGGTGCGCACACGCCGCAGATGTGAGAGCGACAGCGCGGCCTGCGAGCGCGGGTCCCAGTCCGTGTGGCCCGCGCCTTCGTCTCTCCCTGCTTCTTCACTCCAAGAATTCCGGAGAGCTGCCAAGGCCAGGCGGGGCTCGAGCCGCGGCGGGATGCAGAACTCGGGGATGCGGTCCGGGGTGAGCACGTTTGCGCACCCGGCGGTGGTGAGAGACCTGGCTCCGCGGGCCCGACCCGGGAGAAGCCAGTCCCCGCCCCGCCGAAGGCGCTCAGGGCCCAAGCGGAGTCGCTCCAGGCACCACATCTGGCCACCCTCTGCTGGAGCCTGTCTGCCTGCAAAGCACAAAGGTTCAAGGATTGTCAGAGCGAGCCCCGCAGGGTGCAGAAATTCCAGTCCCTTTTTTTCTATTAATACTTTCGGGGTGTTTCTTCCTGCCTTTCCCGAAACAAGGCAAACTGCTCTGCATGCCGCTATTGCAGACTATTTTTCAGTGATTGAAAAAGAGTTGTTTTTCTCTTGTCCTGTCTCAACTCTACTGTAATACACACTGCAGAGCTTGTTTTATTCTCTATCCGCCCTCGCTGGCCTAAGGCAGAGGTTCACAAAATGCTGGATTCTAACTTCAGTCGCTCTGTTCTCTGTGCCAACGATTGCCTTTCTATGCGCTATCGTTTTTGACTCTCTGGAGTATAGCAGTCTAGTCCTCAGCTAGAATTAGAGTAATTATTAGTCCTTCCAGGAATACTGTGGCTTGTTCTCCCCTTGCAAAGGCAAAGAGCTAAATCCCCCAGGGAATTTAGCAAGCTGATAGGTCTCTTCTAAAGTACCTGGAGTCCTGCGTCAGATGGGTCTCTGCGCCTTTCTGCCTGGTACACCGACCAAGAGAGGAGACGTGCTTAGCCGCTGGGAAATTCAAAGCGCGCGCGGTGGGGTTCAGCACAAGTGCTCAAGGACAGCCGGCCTGAGCTTTTATGCCTGCTGCTGGGAGCGCTTGGCAGTGGGCCGAACAGAGGGGCGCTGCCTGGTAACCTGACGCCAGGCCCTCCTCTCTCCCTCCGCCACGTGGCTGGATTTGCTGAGCAAGGTCTGGAGACCCAGTTCTTTCTCCGGCTTCAGGTGGAGGTGTTTTCCTCGGAAACCCTGAGTAGGTTTCTGTTTCCTCACATGCAAAATGGTGTTAAGTCTCTACTATACCGCAGAGTCACTGTGAGGATTGACGGGTGTAATGAATGTGAACGTGTATTAGTACTCTACATCCACCATTAAAATGAGGACAAGTCCGGTTTGTCTTATTTTTGCCTAATAACCCTTCCCGAAATCCAGCTGCCAGTTGCCCAGCTTTCAAAGTTCTTTACTTGCTTTCCGGTTTTCAGTTCTGATTTTAGATGTTTTTCTCTGGTTATAAACCACTCGGGTTCAGGGGGAACGTTTCATATCTTGATCAGGGTGGAGTTACAGAGGTGTATCCATCTGTAAAAAAAAAAAAAAATCAACTAGTGAACACTTAAGATTAGAGCACTTTATTGTGTGTATGTTATACATCAATTGAAAAAACGCAACCTACTTCTTAAGCCATGTGTGCTGATTTTTTAAATTGCAAAATGTACACTATCATGTATCTGGGCAGTTGGAATCGCCCTTTCGAGGGCACTGACCACATCTGACGTTTCTAGGCTGTGCCCACCAGAGAAATCCTTTTCCTTCCTTTTGAAAACTCACCTGTGTTCATTTTGTAAGAGAGTTGCTTCCAGTTAGCTCCGGCTGAAAGAGATCTGAGGCATTTTGTTCAGCATTTGGGTGTATGATATTTCTGCCTAATATCCTGCCTTGCAAATTATTCACTTATCTAAATAATGTTTAATGAATTAAATTGAATTCATGCAAAAGTGTTTTCAGGATAGGGCATGTGCATTTTGTTTCCAGAACACAGGCGCTGTGCTAGATGATTTACAGATCGTCTGTAGAACTGTCACAGAAACCCTGCCTATTCAGATTATCCTTATTTTATAGATGAAAACTAAGACTCAGAAATCAAGTACCTTATCCAACGTCACATAATGATGGGAAATAGAGGAAATAATACCTCCTAATGGGTATAAATGAGCTGTTTTTGGAATTAATATAATAATGTAAAATATTTTGCACCATGCCTGTAACATGGTAAGTGCTAAATACATAGAAGTGATTATTAATAAAGAGAGAAGGAAAGTTGTAAAGGATAGTAGTTAAGAAAACTGGATCTGAAATCAGATCTACTGTTAATGCCAGAATGGTGGCTGTGTGACCTTGAGCAAGTTACTTAACCTTTCTAAGCCACAGTATCAAATTTAAAATTCTTAATAGTGTCAACCTATAGGGTTATCATGAGTATAAAGATAATGCATATGAAGAGGTTAGCATAGCATCTGATATGCACAATGTCACATATAATATTATTGTTACAGAAGAGAGTAAATGCTCATTAGTTCATTCATTCAAAGCAATATGTACTGCGTGTTTTCTGGGTTCCAGCCACCATGCTAGGCAAGTGGATACAAGTTGGCTGTACAAGATCATATCAGCTATGTAAATCCATAAATGATGGAATTAAATGATAAGAGTAAAATATTTGAACTCCATCTAGGTGAGGCAGACATGAGAAGAGACTACTGAACATTACTTAGGTTTTTTGGTTTTTTTTTTAGACTGGGTCTCACTCTGTTGCCCAGGCTGAAGTACAGTGGTACAATCTTGGCTCTTGGTTCACTGCAACCTCTGCTTCCCAGGCTCAAGCAATCGTCCAACCTCAGCCTCCCAAGTAGCTGAGATGACAGTAATGAGCCACCATGCTAATTTTTTTTTTTTTTAGAGACGGAGTTTCAACATGTTGAGCAGGCTGGTCTTGAACAAAGTGACCCGCCTACTTCAGCCTCCCAAAGTGCCAGGATTATAGGTGTGAGCCACCGCACTTGGCCTGAACATTACTTATATGTTTAGTCTAAGGGGCGGGATTGGTGGGTCTCTGGATTTACTGTGCCCTTGACTAGCTATGTCTTATTATTATTATTCATTTTTGACATGGGGCTCACTCTGATACGCAGGCTGGAGTGCAGTGGCACAGTCATGGACACTTCAACCTCAACTTCTCAGGCTCAGGCAGCTCTCCCATGTCACCAACCTGAGTAGCTGGGACTACAGGCATGTACCACCACCCGGCTAATTTTTGTATTTTTTATAGACATGGGTTTTTGCCGTGTTGCTCAGGCTTGTCTTGAGCTCCTGGGCTCAAGAGATCTCCCAGCCTTGGCCTCCCAAAGTGCTGGAATTACAGGTATGAGCCATGAAGCCCAGCCTACTTATTTGTCTTGATATCACCTCTACTCTTTGCCAAAATTCTTGGGCCAGGGCTAAATCTATGGTAAAAGTTTTACCAAATTATATAGTTGAGGGTCATGTGCATGTGTTCCAACTCAGCTTTTCTCAGGAAACAAGATGTTGGTGGCCCTGTGAGAGCCCTTGCTTGGTTAAAGTGATTAGGAGCACAGATCAGAGTTTACAGCCTGGGAAGTTGGCTGAAAAGTTGTTAAGCAAGTTAATGAACCTGTTTGAGCTCAAGTTATAAAATAATTCCGACCACTTAAGATTGTTGTGGGGGTTAAAAATCTATGCATGAAAACGCTCGGTTGGCAGTTAAGTGCTGGCTAGCAGTTAGCTGTTATTATTACTATTATTATTATTATGACTGTTTGCTTGGCCAGGGATTAGCTGATTCACATATGGATTCCTTTAAAAACATTTTTCTCCTCAGGCAAGCAAAGCAGATTTACTTTGTTTTTATTAATGATTCACTTTCTTTAGTAACACTTTAATAGCATTTCCTCTACATGATTTCTTAAAAATAGCAGAGATTTGCCCTTGCCTGGCTGGTCCCTGTGACCCCATTAAGCCTTATGTTTTACTTAACTCGGAAACACGAGCCAGCCACCCAGTACTTGGAAGGATGGTATAACCAGTGCCTAGAACATACAGATCTACTCAGAGGAAGCTCACAGCTGTAGCGGTGGAAACATCCAGTATTGGAGCTGGAAAACAATTCTGTCAAGTAAGCATAAATAGACCACACACCATCAAGACAAGAGGTGCTCTCAGAGTAAAAGGAAATTAAACATTTTAAAGCACTCTCACAAAAATACAGGAGGTTGAGTGTCAAGGAAAGCAGGAAGAGAGTTTACAGCCAATAAAATACTAGTGTTCTGACTTAGGCATCTTGTTCAACACAGCTAGAGTATGGAGTACTGGGGAGGAATACAGAGCAGGGAGTCAGGACACTTGGGTTTGTGTTTTCACTCTGACAGTCACTAACTTGTGGGACTTTGGGCAAACCTTAAATTCTCCCTGGCACTCAGTGTCTCCGTCTGTCAACTGAGGGCGTTGGATTAACCAGATGATCCTCCCTTGCTTTCTCCTAACTTTTCCTGCAGTCCATGGTATCATGGCTTATACTCTAGCTTTCTCCTCCATTTTCTTTTCCCCCCAAATTCCTTTTGCTTTTCTCCAGAAACTCTAGGGTTGGGGGATAGGATATGGGTGGTGGTTAGTGTGGATTTTGTTTTTTAAATATTTTTGAGTAATTTTTAAGTGTCCCTAATTTATACTTTTGTTTTTAACAGAAATACTATTTTGCTTATCTGTTTTTATTGTTCAGTCCTTTACTGAAGTTTAGGTTTGTAACTGCCTTTGTTGTCATTCTCACTGTTCTTAAGCCAGAATGAAGACAAGAACTATAATGAATGAGAATGCTCATTTTCTTCAGTTAACCTCTGTATCCAAATTATTTCTGATACAATGGCATACATAAGAATGCTAATGGCGTTTCTTGACACTGGTTATAGTTTGTTTTAAATTGGGACTGCACATTTCTGACTTCTTAAATAAATATGGAAGATTTGGGGCATGACTGAATGCACATAATCAATCACTTAAAACATGCTGAAAACGGAAAATAGTAAAATTTAAAGCTTTTTATACTATATGGTAATCTCATTTTTTGAACCAAAAATTTAGAGCCAAATTTTCCACTGAGTTTTTTTTTTCTGCCATGAACCTTTCAAAGTAAGATCTCTGATAATGACTAATAGCCCAGCGGTGATTAAACTGCATAATTACTGGAAGAGAAAAGGATGGCAGTGCTTAGGGAAGCAAAAGAAATTAATATCGGCTGTGTGATTTTGGGTAAGTCATTTAACATTCCTGAGCTTAATTTTTCTATTAAATAAAGACCATACTACTACCTGCATTAGTTACCTCCCAGATCTTTTGTGAGGATTACACCAAAATGCCTACCTTTGCATAATAATGACCGCTCACAAAATATAACTGAAACATAATGAAATTGATGCATATGAAAGCACCTTTACACATTGTTTTTTCAAAATGATCACATTATACCATAGAACTGTAAGGAATTACTGTATTAGACAAGGCATTAGTGGTCCTCACTTCTCCCAAAAGATTGTGCCTGTTGTCCCACCTGTCTGACCAAGCTATGTTTGTGCCATCTGTCCTGTTACTCATACGTCCTTGCATTGGTTTCTTAAGTATTTATGGTACATGCCTTATCTCAACCAGAACATATATTGTTTCTTTACATTCCTTCTGGTGCATAGTCAATATGAATGTAAAAAGGAAAAGGGGGGCTGGGTGCAGTGGCTCAGGCCTGAAATCCCAGCACTTCAGGAGGCCGAGGTAGGCAGATCACCTGAGGTCCATAGTTTGAGACTAGCCTGACCAACATGGAGAAACCCCATCTATACTAAAGAAATAAGCAATTAGCCAGGCATGGTCGTGCATGGCTGTAATCCCAGCTACTCGGGAGGCTGAAGCAGGAGAATTGCTTGAACCTGGGAGGTGGAGGTTGCGGTGAGTTGAGATCGTGCCATTGCACTCCAGCCTGGTCAACAAGAACAAAACTTGGTCTCAAANAAAAAAAAAAAAAAAAAAAAAAAGGAAGAGGGGATTGTTAGGGTGTATGCCTAGAAAGAACCTGGAGAAGGTTTGAATAGAGTGTTCTAAACGCTGGGAAGTTATTGGATGTTTTTAAGCAGGTGAGTAACTTAAGTTCACCTATGCTTTAGGAAATCAAGTCTGGTGTTCATGAGAATAGACTGGAGGAAGGAGTAACTGGAGGCTAGAAAGTGAGTTTCAAGGAGATTGCCTGGCTCAGAAGGAACACATGGAGAATTTAGGAAAGATGGCAAAAGCAGAATAGACCAGTTGAGCTGTTATTTTGTTGTGGACAGTGAAGAAATCCAGAGTACTTACTAGGTATTTTGTCTGTGTGACCAGCTAGGAAAAACA